TTTCAAACTACTCGGGTGACTGGGATTCTTATATAAATAGCACCACGAATTGAAAGCAAAGTGAAAGAGTACCGTTGTTTTCTTGAAAAATATCATAGAAAACAAGAACAAGTCTGCTTTCTTAAGATATATTTCATTTCGAGCCCGACGGGTCCCGTGGAGTCTCTGATGCTGATAAAGCGGAATTCTTTGCTGATTTTTTGAAGGCATCTACACCTCTAATAGTGTTCAGGCGAATACTAGTGTCGATTTGATGGGGATTATCCATGAATAGAAGACTCTCGCTGGTTCGAAAAACAGGGACTTTTGACATTATACATGACTGGAAAACCAGCTCGTCCCCAACCCCGGATGGGATACCCTTCAGATTTTTTAAGGGGGTGCTTCCCTCGATTGTTGGTCCATTGAAATATATCTTCAATCTGTGCCTGTTTGGAGGCGAAGTACCTCAAAGATGGAATATTTCTTTCGTCGCCCCATTTCGAAGAAACCACTACGTGACAATCCTTGCATTTATAGGCCAGTCATCATTACTTTGGTTTTTTGTAGAGTATTCGAAAAAGTGGTGGAGAGGGTCATCATTAGTAGACACCTCGAAAACAACAGGATACTACCGGAAAGACAACCTGGGTTAACAAGCGCAAGTTCAACAATAACACACATTCTTGAGGCTCTCAACATCTGGACTACTTCATCGGACGAGAAAAATGAGGTTGATGTGATTTATCTCGATTATGCTGAAGCTTTTGATAGGGTAAATCACACCAAACTCTTACTTAAGTTGAATCATATCGGTTTACATCCGAGGATTGTCTCATGGGTAGAATACTTTCTACTATGCCGCTCGTTTCAAGATCGGGTTATGAACATCACGTCCACTATCACGTCAGCTCCGAGCGGAGTTCCACAGGGCAGCGTTTTGTCGCCTCTGCTGTTTTCCATTTAGATCTACGAACTCCCGCAGTTGGTGGAGGAAATAGGTGTTATATGTAAAATGTTTGCGGACGATGCCAAAATTTACAGCGCATTAAGGTCAGAGACGGATTCTGCGCTGATCCAAAAAGCCATTGATGCGATCTTAGGTTGGTCCAAAACATGGGAGCCACCTAGCGACTGAGAAAACCGTTGTTTTTCATATAATGGAAGATAGGGTCCGGGAACTTCTCCCCGGCGCCGCATATGCCTTACCCGCCGCGTACCGCAGTATTGCGATGGAAGATTTTAGCGCGTAATTTGTGAGGTAGTAAGTCCTTTAATTATTTAAATTGGCTGACCGCTCTCTTCAATTTCAATGCAGTCTCGATCGTCGTTTATATAGGAGGAGTCATTTTAATTAATCAAGCTTAATAAACATGAAAACGAAAAAGAAACAGAAGAAAAGACGATCAAATCCAATAAAAAAGCAGGACAATCAACGAAAAATATCGCGTCCTATCGATTGGCGAGGAGGAGGGGTGAGTACGGTAATTGCAGTGACATTTCCCGCATGCCGCAAGGGAGAATGCTGCATTCGGGGAGAAGTTCCGTTACACGGGAAAGATCAGGTCGGCAGCAGTCATCACATGGGCGCCGTCGAGCTCAGGAGAGTTGGTGAAGTTAGGGATTTGGGTTTTATACTAGATGACAAACTTTGCTTCGACTCCCACTACAGATATATACCAAGTAAAGCTGCGTCAAGGCTTTTTCAATTGCTGAGGAGTCTTCATACCAAGGACCCATGCCTCCTAATAAGGGCGTATAAAGCCTTTATCCGCCCTATGCTGGAGTATGACACTGTCGTTTTCTATCCACATACTAAAAAGGCTATCTCAAGATTTGAGATCATCCAAATCACTTTTACTCGAAAGATATTAATTTGCGCCCTAGGTTATAGCTATAACGCTGTACCTAGAGGGATTGTAAGGAACAAAATACTCGGCTTAGAGTCTCTGCAATGTAGAAGAAAAAATTCAATTTCGTTACAGGAATTAAAATTATTAAAGGCAGATTGTCGGTTGATACGCGAACTTTCTTCACCTCACTTCCGTCAACAACTGGAGGAGAGCGACTTAAACCTTCGCTCCCCAACGCCAGGTCCTCCATTAGAAATAGGTTCTTCACACTGTGGGCTTTCTCAGAATTCGCTAAATTGCAAAGTACCCCTTGGTAAACACCACTGCAGAACCGAAGAGGGATCTGTTCAAGTACTACACTCAAGGTCCCATTTATAAAGTATTAGTACACCATGTTTTCTCTGCGCACTTAGTTAGGGGACATCCTTTTTTGGAAGGTTGGTCACTTAATGTGCTTTTTCGTTCAATTTTGTTGTTAAATCTACTAATTCATTTCTGTTCTTCGTTTGTGGAATTTTCATTTTGTTTGTGGACATTTCATGTGTTGTTTATTCACTTTGCTTTAACGCAGTCCATTATTGGCATTTGCTACCTCCATGTGCATGCAATAAACCTAAAAGCGCATGGCATAAAATCATTTGCTCCCTTAGCTTGGTTTGGCGATGCTAACACTTGACATTACGAACGAACTTGAAGGAGCCCACTGGAGGAATCTTATAAATGCAGAGCAAACACCAGCTGCAGCATCCAGTTATCCCGATAATATTGTGTACTCGGCATTCGTGTTCTACTTATTTTACGTGAACTCATCATTTGCTGTTCTAAGCACCTAGCAGTTGCCAGTGTCGCAACGATTCTGTATGCCGCTCTGTTATTCGCTTTGGTCTTCGTCTAATTCGGCCAACTTTTTTTTCTCGCTCTGAAGTAGCGGCCTCTAAGCAGCTTGAATCAAGTCTCTAGTCTGCTTTTCACATTCAATATATTACGAAGCACCTCTTTTACAGTTGTTTTCTTCCGTTAGGTTGTCTAGGATGCATTGAGGAACCTTAGCGGCTCAAATTCGAAAGCATCTTGAGAACGAATGCACCAAAGCAAGATTATAGAAAAGTTGACCCGAAAGGGTTGCCTCTAAAAGATCAGTACTAGTTGATTCATGGTCAATCCGTCTGTTACTTCGTTTTTGGGAATAAGTTGTCATCTATTTATCAACGAGCGACCGTCACGCCTTCTGCTTCACTGCTACCACTCTGATCGCTCTGCCACTCAAGCCCAGAATAAATTAAAGTCACCAATCAGGACAGCATTCCACCCTCCCTGGCATACTACTAAAGGTGTTACACTCGACTTCCTAACTCAACGAGTGATCTTTTTGAACGAAGCACTCAAAGCGGGCTTTACATTCTACTCATACCGGCACTGTTCTAGCCTTCGTAACGAGTAATCTCTTCCAAAGATTGAAAGTGATGAAGAATTTGTCTTCTACCTCCCGCTCCATCACCCACGACATCCTACCCAAAAGTCGCTTTCGTGCAGCACTTTCTGCATTTATACCTCGCTCCTTACATGAGCGCGAACATCAAGTGTGAGCCGTCGTGCAACAGAAGCTTTTCGAACGATGACTGGGACGACACACAATATCATTCAAGATGCGAAGTGATCTTTTATGCGAACCACACTGGAATTTTATGATATCCACGCAGAAATATGCAACGGCTTCTACATTACATGTGAAGCCAGGAGCGGTTGCAAGGAGGATATAATAATAACTAATAATAACCTCATTATAACCTCATTCTTTATCTGTTCGACCGATTGCTGTTACTATAATATCCTAACCGAGGGTGCTCCTGTGACTACAAGATATACTACGAAGAACTGAGAGCGGTGGTGCCATGTCTCGAGCCCCCATTTCACACCGGCTGAAAGGAATGTTTCTGTTTGTGATTGAGAACGTTTGACCATACCACACGGGGCGACGACAGTGGAGCTGGAAAGACTTGGTATCACCTGCCCACCCTCCATATTCACATAAGCTTGGCCCTTGTGACTAAACTGCCGTTAGAAGTATACAAGAGCACTTCGAAGGAAAAACTCGATAACCGTCAGGAAGTCAAGTGTGCAGTTAATGAGAGGATCACGCAGCGTCCTCTTCCTTCTGGAACGATGGCAGTAATGCTCTGACTAATTGATGGGAAGATGTCGTGACAGGAAAGGCTCTATTTTGACTACTGATCATACGTAATAGTGGTAGATTTTTTTGTTGAATAAAATTAATTCTCTTAAATATACACCCAAAAAACTACTACAGATAATATCCCATTCGCTCCTATCTCATTTGCATAACTACGTTAATTAGACTGCCTAAATGAAAACCTTAAAGGCACAGCTCACGATCATTTTGAGGGGCCCTTTCATCTTGAGAAACGAAAGTGCTGACGTCTTCTTAAAGGCTCTTAAAAGTAGTGGAAATGGAGGCTGTACGAGACCACCGTGACAGGAATGGCATGTGGTGGTATGTTGACGAGATTTAATTTGCTCTCATTACGCAAAGGGATGACAGTAACCGCATCTGTGGTACCCTATTGCAAAAATATCCCCACTTACAAGGCATCGAAGAATATTGTTCGATTGCATCATCATGGGGTGGAATGTTCCTACATCTGAAGTTGAAGGATAATGGATAAAGTATTAGCGCGTTGATTAATCCCACTTAAGTAATGCACCTCTCATTCAACTTCCATTATAAATCGTAGTGGCTATTCAATGTGGGTAAGGCCTGCACAGTGACTTGCGGTGGCCAGCCATTATTCGAATCAGTGCTTTCTTTTATCCTCCTTAACGAGACTGGTACATACCATCGGCCTTGGAGGGATCGAAGAATTAGTTGGCCTAAGCGGATATCGACCCGGAATTCGAACTCGCTATCATGCGTGTGCGAAATGCGCTACTTACTAGTACACCACCTACGCCCACATCTAAAATTACTTTATAAAATGTTTTATTGGATCCTGCACATCAAAAACCGCCGAAGCCCTTCTGAATGAAGAAAGCGGACTGGTTCATTCTAGGCTAAAGTTCATTTTGTAAGCACATTTAAACGTATCTTCATGTTTTTTTGCTCTATAATTTCCACGCAAATTTATTGAGAAAATCTGAATTACATCGATCTCAGTTGGGGGTATTGTAGACACACGCCACATAAAGGAGGTTGTCGTTTGGCATCGTATCAGTATCGAAAAATCCATTACATCCGTAGGTTGTTCCTTCGGGAAGTTGGCGAAGCTGAAACTATGCTATTGGTTGCGTTACTCATACAAAGCATGGTCTCGTCGATCGGAGTGTTGAGGAAAGAAGGTATCGAGGGTAACGTAGGTGGCAGTAGGGATGAGCCCTTCAGGATAGCCCCAGACAGGGCTTCATGTTTTTCATCGGAAACTCTGAGTCTCCTGGAACTGTGTAATTCTCTAATTCTTCTACCCGGAGGTGGATTTTAACACCATACTTCCGACTCTGCGATTAGTATGAGCCCTAGAAATCAGCTTTTCCAACTCTGCTGTATTCAGGTGTACGATTAAAACCACATGAATTCAACTCACTTTATCTGCATATTTTTTGAAAGGGTTCAGCAGAACAAAGCGCACTTTCTCCTCCAGAGGTCCTATGTACCTCTTCGTAAAGAGCCTAAACTTTCGAAATGCTTTTCTCAAGGCGAGGAAACGTCCAAGACTTGCAAAACCAACTTATCGTTTCTGATCGTGAAATAATCGCCGGCATTCCATAGTAATCGATAGTGTGGCCTAACAGCTTCCACCATTGCCTTAGCCGCCAAGTCATCATCCCACTTCTG